ATCATTTTAAAATTTTCCCAAGAAAATTAGCGGATCCCATACGAGTTTTTTTTATTATTTTCACAAAATTATTTTCTTTTCAAAAAAGAAAACAAAATTCTTGCAAGAGAACTGCGACCTTGAGGCAAAAAAGGAAGGAAGCACAGTACTGTACAGTACTACACTACAGGTTCAGATGGCGTGAAATGAATTGCCATGCTTTTCCACCACAACAACAAAGAAAGGCAAACTGAATGGCTGCCGTGTTGGCTGTGTTCTGTAAACTGTCGGTTTTTGCGCCATTTCCCCCTACCTTCATCCTCTATCTCTCTCTCTGTCCAGGCACTATCTCCCGAACTGCTGCTGCTCTTGGGTCCCATACTATCGGGTATCCCGAGCACTGAATTGTTTCCCCCCCTTTGCCTCCTGCAAACTGGTTACGGCCCCCACGCGCCTGCGCACCCGCCGCCGTAAAACAACTCCCAACTCCCCCGAGGCCCACGTCGCATTCCCTCAGGGGAGGGGGTAATGAGAGAGGTTTTTCCGGAAAGTTCGTTTATCCCTTCTCCCGCATTCCCGTGAGAAGAAATTAATCCCGTGAGAGAGAGAGAGAGAGAGAGACAAGAGAGAAATATGTCGAGTTTCCGTGGTTGGATGATTGGGAAGGAAACGCAAAACCGTAGCTTCGTTTCACGGCTGGGGCACGTGACTGTGAAGCAAAGAGGGGCTGATTTCCTGACGCACGTGGGAAGTGAGAAGAAGAAGAAGGAGGAGGAGGAGGAGATGACGACGATGATGATGCTGATGATGATTCGGCTTGAATGGAACGTTGCGAGTTGTAGATCGAATGACGCACCTGTTGCGTGTGTTGAACCCGAAGAGGGGCTGGCTACACGTGGAAGGCGGCCCCGGCCGCGATCGCCTTTGCGCCGAAATTCAACATCATGAAACATTCGGAAAGACGGATATGATGCATGTGACGAGAGATTGCATTCATCTTGACTGAAAATACTCTAATTTGTTTTTTTTTTTCACTGAAATTATCGATGTATTCTTCTATTGATCAGCTTGTCCAGATGTATGAGTGAATGAACATACGGGATCCATCTGACCACCCCATGAAGTAAAAAAAAAAGTGTAAGCTGAAATCTAAGTTCAAAGATGCATGGTAAAACTGCAGCTTCACTCACAATCAAGGTTTGATTCACTACGACGTGTCACGTGTGTCTCTGGGGGGGGGGGGGGGCGATTTTATTAAAATTTAAATCTGTATGATATATGAAATTAAAAACTTTGCCGAGTTTAACTTATTTTAAGTTGAAAACCTCCCAGATTCTTATTTCCTTTTGACCCTTCTCTCAAGTCATCGCAGTTGAAACTTCCACAACTAACTGGGTCAAATTTGCGTCAAATTTCTGGGCTTTTTGAAACTGCGTTAAATTGCTGCTAATTTTTTTCACGTGGTTGCAGAAAATTAAAAAAGTAAAAGAATATATGAAAATGTTCTTCTTTCGGCTCTGAAGTCAATGTTGAAGAAATAATCTACATTTTAAGTTTCCAGCCCCAGTTGAGTCTCGATCTAGACTTCGGAAAGCCCTTGCACCTCTTTCAAGCATTACACAGTATATATTAGTCCTTTAAAGAAATAAACTCTTATCTTCCTGAAATAAAAAAAGAAGAAATTTTCTTCATGTACAGTACAGAAAAATATTTCGTTTTCTCATGGAAAAATAATCGTACTACAGTACTTCTCTTCTCACCTTATTCTTCCCTGGATCAATCTTTCAAAGGTTAATTTTTTATGGGTTGAACAGAGCAATTTTCGAAGCGCCCCAGTTTTAGTAGTTGAACCTGCGAACAAGCCTCGAGGGTTTAAAAAACAAAAACAAAACAAAAAAGATGAAAATAAGCCCGACGACTCCCGTTTTTCTCAGCCCTTCTACAAAGCATGTGCGGCGGAAATTGGATACTGTTATGCTTTTGCTCGCAACAAGACGTTCTTCCCTCGCCGTCTAGCCCGAAGAACCCTCTTTTAGGGGTTGCTCAAATCACTTGGAAAAAAAGGGGGTTAGGGATGATAAATGGACTCGGCTGCCTTCATTAGTCTCTTGCCGGCTTACAACGCGTGGACGAACTTTTTGTCGCCGAAGTCATCAAGCGCTCAACTCCAGTGCGAATGCGGCTCTGTGATATCATGCTGTTGACGGCTGCCAAGTAGAGAGAGAGAGAGAGACACACAGAGCTGACGACAGTTATTCAATAACAGGGAGACGGGAGATAAAAGAGAAACGAAGGCAATAAGGCGGCAGCCACCTGCTGCGCGTGCGTGTTGTGATTCACAGGCCGGGGTATTTTGTGCCCCTCGGGACGGGTTCGTTATTATTGCGATTGAGGGGGGGGGGGAGAGAAAGAAGGAAAATCAAGTGTTGGAATGCCCCGATTTTTTAAAGCCTCAGGGATGGACCACGTTTTTCATGGAGGAACTGAATGCTGTGGTGGCTCTTTCGGATGATCGATTTTTGGACACGATGTGTCTTTATTTTTGTTTTCATGCCTACTCATCAAGCAGTGGCAAAATAATTGCAGTAACCATGAGAATGTGACTTGGAAAGCGAATTTGATCCAACGGCTCTATTTTTTTTTTCTTTAGACATGACGAAAATTCCCATTTGTCTCTTGAGGAAAATAACAAAGGCTTCATTCTTTTAAAGAAAAGATATTTTGTGTGTGGAGCTTTAAATAATGTACAAATAGATTATTACCCCACTGTTCATATTAGAAATAATAACTATATGTGTATTACCCCGCATAAGAAAAGGCTCATGCAGTTGGACTTCATCGATTGAAGCCTCCTTGAGCCGAAAACCTCCCTCATTTGAATTCCCAGTTCGTCCCGAGCCAATTAATTTTAGTCCGAAGCAATTTTAACCGACCCAACTCGAAATTTTTGGATTCAACCCTCCTTCAGTTAAATATTTACGGTAGGCTTTTCTATACAGTAAAATGTGCGGTAAACTTCGTAGAAAGAAAAAACAAAAGCATTTTTTGCCCTCCACAAAGGAAGTATGAATTTTTCTAAGGTTGGGACATCTATGAAGATGAACTGAATTATTTTAAAATAATTTCTATTAATTTGAGCAGAAAGTATTTTCAATTGATCAACGAAACCAAATGAAGACAAATACTGTACTTCACGCTGAAATGAAAAAAAAAAACTCTATGTCATTTTTATGTACAGTAGTTCCTTCAAATTTCAATTGAAGAGGTTCACCTGTATGAAACAATATTTTGCCCCACAGATTCTTTTAAATCTTGAAAATCTGATTCTGAGAACAAATCTCTTTCATATAACATTGTCCAAATTAACTTTGGGTAAAACAAAATTTTGCCCGACAGAATTTTAAAATCTTGAAAATCTGATTCTGAGAAAAAATCTCTTTCACTTAACATTTTCAAAATACAACGAAATTGCTTGTATTTTTTTCAAGTTGTGATTTATTAGTTGTGATTGTGATTTAAGTTGTGATTAACCGAATCAAGATCAACTCTTACCATTCGATGCTAGCTTTTTTTTTTTTTATATGACGACGCTGCCAAAATGTAAAAGTATTATTATTATTGCGGAGTTTCTTCACGAAGTCATGTGCGTGATATGAGATCAATTATCATTTATCACGGATAATTCGATTTCCCCTTTCTGAAGGTTTGAATTCATTTTTCGGATGATCGGGGTAGACGTTTTCAGTAATTTAATGCGAGGCCATTATCCAGTGGTCTTAATTTGTTGAATATACTGTACTGTGCTTGCGAATACCTGTGTCGCTTTTGCTTGATTATCCTCGAATCGAAAATGATACGATCGGACCTCTCCTGTGCCTTCTTTCTGATCTCGGCTCATCGGAACAGCCAACTAGCTCAGTTCCGAGTTACAGTACAAAACTGATGCGTATAAAAAAAAGATTGATCCCCGGCGTGTGGTGTGGAAAACAAATCCTCTGGGTTCGGGGGGTACCCCGCAAGAGCAATAGCCCGACTTCGCATCTCATTACGCTCCTGTTTCTTCCCGAGAGCCCCGCATCATCCCGCCGTCACGCGGGGTTTAAAATGATCTCGAGATTGCCCACCGGCGGCGGCGGCAGCTCCAGTGGCGGCGGCGACGGTAAATGCCGCTGTGGGCGAGATTATACGATGGTACAGTAGTAGTTGTAGTATGCTGTAGTAGGGGAAAAAGGCGAATATTCCAAGTCGTGGCTTTTTTGGTGGAGAGGGGGGGGGGATCAGGGGCGAATGAAAGGAATCAGGATAAAGAGAAGAAGAAGAAGAAAAGAAGAGATAAATGGTGCGTGCGGATGAGATGAGATGGAGCGGCTCCTGCAGGTCGCCGTGCCTTCTCACGGCTGCAATCAGCGCGTGGTTTAATGCCTTCGTGGCGGCCTTTTTTTTTGAGTTTGTTTGTTCGTTCGTTCGTTTCTCATACAGAATATATGCAGTATTTTTACTTTATTTTTTTTTCTGCCGCCGCGGCGTCCGTGGGAAACGAACGCGTGCGCCTTGTTCCGTCGGGTCGTTGCCGGGTGTGGTTTTTTTTTTTTTTTTTCTAGTACAGTATAATTTTATTTTGTCCGTGAATCCGTGAATGGCCCAGGGAAAGAGCCTTCGTTCATTCACTCGAATCATATTATTTTATTGTGGGTTTTTGAATTGAATCGCACGTGGGCCGATTTTGAGGAGAGACTCGTTTTCTGGTGGTACACAATTTGAGCTGGGAGTTTAAAATTGTTTTAATGTTTACTGGTGTTGAAACATGGTCGTAATTGCGTGCTACAGTACAGTACTGTACGATAATTCCTTGGTAATGCTGTACACTGAGTTCATTTAAAAAAATCAAAGCGCATGCTGTACTTGGAGAGAACTTTTTTTTTTCCCAGTGGACTTAACGCCAACTGGGGTTTCCGAGTCCTTGACTGGAGTCAAGTCCACAAAATTTTAGCGTGAATTTTTTTACGTATGTGTTTTGGTGCTAGTACTGTAATTCTTCGATCTACTTGTTGTAAAATTGACCTTTAAAAAACTCACGTCTAAATGGAGGAAAGATATCTTGTACCACTAGGTGAAAAAGCCCTGACCAAGAGTCATGAAGCATCAACTTCAAAATAATGTTTTAGGTGTTTTGATGCGAAAGACGGAAATGCTGGTTGAATGAAGTTCATGGAAGTGCTTATGTAACGTGGTACTTGATGACGAGTCTCGACCATGGTTGTCTCGACCTCACGATGGGATTAGATCACGTCCAGTCCCTCAACCCAGACACCTTCGTAATTATTTTGTACTGTACAGTGATTGGAAACCGACTACGTCTAATGCCTTCAGATTTCCTCATCTAGTTGGCTAATTGACTCGCGTGAACAGATGCGCACTCGGTTGCGAGCAAGTTCAATTATACAGTACAGTACAATATCTCTAGTACTTTTTCTCTCTCCCTCTCTTTCATACCTTCCCCCGAGTCGCTACTGGCAATATACGGGTGAATCATGGAATCAAGCGGAAAAACGAAGCGTGTACGTGCTGGGATGAAGTTTTATTTATTTTATATTTTTCTCCTCTCTCTCTCTCTCTCCCCCACTCCCCGCCCAAGTCCGGAAGAATGCGGGCTTTTCCAACAACACGATATGTGTGTTGCTGAGCCCGTGGGAAACCTTGTTTTTTCTCCCTTTAGTGCTGCAGGAGCCCGGGTGCCGTTGTCGCCGCCGCACACGCGCGCATGCGCCGTCCCCATGACTTCGCGCTCTGTCTGACTCTCTCTCTCCCTCCCTCTTAATTTGCCTCGTAGTGCTCACCCCCTCCCTTCCTCGTTCATTGCATAGGCTTGCAGTCCCTTCCTGAGGCACGAGTTCAGGCATTAGAGTCAGTCTCACTCGTGTTACACGTCTGACACTTTCGGTTGCCAGGTTTTTTGTTATTTTGGTAAAACATGGTTGAGGGGAGGAACTGGTTACAACTTACAAGAAAACTTGAGAAGAAACTTCGTGAATGCGAGCAAATGACGAATTGCATGTTGAAGCTGAAGTACAATAATTTAATGACGAATAATTGGAGAAATACTTGGACATTCTTCCTTAGAGCTGTGTGAAAGGATGTTCTAGTTGAATGCGGTACATCTCTGAAGAAATTCGTTCCGAAAATATTCGAATCACTTCTCCTTAATCGATCCAACTTCTCAGAACAGGATGAAATCGAGGAAGAGTAACTTATAGGTTCCCCGATTATTTTTAATCGAGTCCACCGTCATTATTTTCAAGCCTGAAATTGTTCTGTGTCATGATGAACATGCATGAGGAAAACCCCCTGCTGCGATAAGTGTGTATATGAGAGTGATGCAAATAATTGGTCAAGTTCTGGGGAGTTAAAAGCCACCTGTAGAGAGAGACTGGTTCCACGACGAAATTCGAGGGACCAGAAAATATCGCTGTAGAGAACCCGCAAAGCATGGGGATTTAACCCTTGGGACTACAAGACAAATTTGCTACGTAGAGATAATCGTGGGGAAGATCTTAGGAAACAAGAGTACACCTGCATCGGAATTTCACATCGTACTTCACAATTCCTTGATCGAAACATTGAAATTGTTCAACAGATACTCCATGGGCCAGCGCCCGGATGAGAAGGCCGATATTCCCAGCAACCCGCATGCCGCCCTACTCGACAGGCTGCGCAGATCCGTCCTTCTCCGGCACGAGCTGCGCATTCCCTCCCGCGCAGGAGCATCAGAAGTCTGTGCGCGGATCCCGGGCGCTTCATTCCACGCTCAGACGCGAGACGAGCTAGTGCTAAGAAACTGCGGGTGAAAATCTACTGAAGGAATACTTCGTGACCTGACCTGATCGAGGGGAAAAGGAAGAGTGTTTCGTGTGAGCTAATTGATCATGAGAGCGTTGCCGTCGCCAGTCATGTCTGCCGAGCAACCAATGTCGAGGACCATGCAATACAAAAAGGTGAATAACCGAATACTGTCCTTTTATCAAAGCTAAGAGCCTGTGTTAACAGTGTTGATTGAATGAGAATTAAATTCAAGACCCCCGTCGGCAGTGGGCGTAAATGAGAGTAATGTAAAATGCAGATTATCTGTTAATTTTTGGGAATATAAAAATTTTTAATCCGTGCAAAATTCCTAATCCGTTATAACTCAGATCAAGAATTTTAAAACCCGTTGACATGGTATATTTTTATAATTCGCAATCTGTTGCTTATCTTACGTATGAATATCGAATTAAATGCGATCGTAGTTTGTGTATCATGAACTCATGAACAAATTTCTGTGTTGTCTCTCAGGTGATGAAGCCGTTATTGGAACGTAAGAGGCGTGCCCGTATCAACCAATGTTTGGAGGAGTTGAAAGAGTTGATGGTGACTGCCATCCAAGCTGATGGTGACAACAACGTTTCGAAGCTTGAGAAAGCTGATGTGCTCGAATTGACAGTGACGCATTTGAGAAAGCTGGTTCAAAAGCAGGGTGATGTCAGGGCTCCTGACCCTGCCGCCGCTGTGCAACGATTTCATGCCGGCTTCGCGAGATGTGTGCAAGAAGTGGATACTTTCCTCAGCTCAACTGCGTGCCAACAGGTGGGCTTTTAATATTTTGCTTTCTTCGCTAATTTGGGTGGATAACGAAATCAATTAAGAATTAATTTTTACAGCGTTAATTACTTTCTACTTGCTCTGCGTGTCTCTTGCTACAAATTTTTGAAAAATTGCTTGTCTTGATTTTGTAATTTTAATTAATTTTTAAACGAAAATTGATTGAGCAGGAATAAGTTTTGATGGTTAAAGTGAGGTCCTAGTTGAGGATACCATTGAGAGTAAATTCAATTGTAAAAACTAAGGCGATGATCTGCATTTGCAGATCAGTGCAGCGCTGATTTTTTTTTTGTTGTGGGTGGAATGATGGTAATTTAATGTCAATGGTGAAAACTTGAAACAGCCATCATATAATTATTTTATAAATTCATCAAATAAATAATCGCAATTTTACTTGTTTTGCTAACTGAGAAGAAACATTTTTGACGGATAAGTTATTTTATTCTCCAGGTTGCGCAGAGAGTTTCGTCAGAAGAGAATATGCATCCAGCTACCCGTGGACTTATGTCACACTTGCACGAATGTCTCATGGTGATGGATACGGCAGACAAAACCTCTCCCATCCGTGTCACCACACCTGTTGCAGTTCGACAAGACCCAATTGTATCACCGCCACCATCACCTTTGGCTGCTATGGCTCCATATCAGAAAGCCTTGCACCGAATGCGAGCTGCCTCATCTGCTTCAACATCGTCATCAGTCGATGAGACCATGATGATGCATGGGGATTTTGCGTCTCGTGCTTCTCGCGCAGGTCTTCTCATGCCAGTTCGTGTGTTGGTGCGTGACGATCGTCGTGTGGCATCTGGTGGTTTCTCGTCAGGTTCGGAAGATGATGAAGGACTCGATTTGCGAGTGGGTGCGAAAAAATCTTCGTCATCTTCTTGTGCTTCGTCGTACGGAAGTCACGGCTCGTCAGGTTATTATTCAAGTGATGAGGATGTTTGGCGTCCATGGTGATCTGTGTGAAAGATGAGAATTTGTGTTGAAGGATTTTGTTTTGGAAATTATTGTTTTCATTGCCAGCGGATAAATATACTTTTGTTTCCATGATTTAATTGAAAGATTTTACCTTTCATTTCTTTCTCCGACGTGTGAAATTTGATAATTTTGACGACGTTCACGTGCAGGAAAATTCTTCACGGGTAATGCGAAGAATATTTGTTCTGCTCAGCTTTCAAGGAACGATCTGCGGGAAATGCTTGACTTGCGTCAAATGCATGGCGCACAACTGTGTTCAGTTCACTTTCCTGCAAATATTCAAAATACAGCATTATTCGTCAGATTTACTTCGTTCTACAGAATCAAATTTGTGCGTGAAGTGGAAAAGCCTCATCCAAGTTAGTTTGCATAACAGAATTTAAATTAATTTCGGAGGAATATTCAAGCGTTTAATTCGGTTATTGTTGAAGAGATCAAGAGAGAAATTGTGAAGAGATCGGGGATTTTCGAAGATTAGCTGAATTTGTTTTTTAGAATAAATAATCTTACGAGATTACACTATTTCAAATACATTATCATAACCCTTTCTGGATTTTCATTTGGAATAATCTTTGATCAGGATCTTTGTTCAGCTTGAGGGATTATGACCGAAATCGTAGTTCGAAGCAAAATCATTTACTGTACAGGGCTTGTATCAGATGAAGTAACATAAATTATCACTTCAAATTAATACTAATTCAAAATTTAAACTCGAACGAACCTCGCTTTCTTGCTTGAGTTCTTTGCGTCTCGTGCTTCTCGCGCAGGTCTTCTCATGCCAGTTCGTGTGTTGGTGCGTGACGATCGTCGTGTGGCATCTGGTGGTTTCTCGTCAGGTTCGGAAGATGATGAAGGACTCGATTTGCGAGTTGGTGCGAAAAAATCTTCATCGTCTTCTTGTGCTTCGTCGTACGGAAGTCACGGCTCGTCAGGTTATTATTCAAGTGATGAGGATGTTTGGCGTCCATGGTGACCTGTGTGAAAGATGAAAATTTGTGTTGACGGATTTTGTTTTGGAAATTATTGTTTTCATTGCCAGCGGATAAATATACTTTTGTTTCCATGATTTAATTGAAAGATTTTACCTTTCATTTCTTTCTCCGACGTTTGAAATTTGATAATTTTGTCGACGTTCACGTGCAGGTAAATTCTTCACGGGTAATGTGAAGAATATTTGTTCTGCTCAGCTTTCAAGGAACGCTTTGCGGGAAATGCTTGACTTGCGTCAAATGCATGGCGCACAACTGTGTTCAGTTCACTTTCCTGCAAATATTCAAAATACAGCATTATTCGTCAGATTTACTTCGTTCTACAGAATCAAATTTGTGCGTGAAGTGGAACAGCCTCAATCAAGTTAATTTGCATAACAGAATTTAAATTAATTTCGGAGGAAAATTCAAGCGTTTAATTCGGTTATTGTTGAAGAGATTAAGAGAGAAATTGTGAAGAGATCGGGGATTTTCGAAGATTAGCTGAATTTGTTTATTTTAAATAAATAATCTTACGAGATTACACTATTTCAAATACATTATCATAACCCTTTCTGGATTTTCATTGGGAATAATCTTTGATCAGGATCTTTGTTCAGCTTGAGGGATTATGACCGAAAACGTAGTTCGAAGCAAAATCATTTACTGTACAGGGCTTGTATCAGATGAAGTAACATAAATTATCACTTCAAATTAATACTAATTCAAAATTTAAACTCGAACGAACCTCGCTTTCTTGCTTGAGTTCGGATCCCGAAACCCCGGGGGAAGGTTCTTCCGCCCCCAACATCGCTTCGAACGTCTTTTACGGCATCTTTTCTCTTTACTGTTGCTTGTAGCGTTAAGGTGAACGTCAGTCGGTTTCTGGAAAGAGGGTCTTCCAGGACCCAAGGTGTACTCCATCCTGGATTGCCGGCTCACTACTGGATATTTCCTTGTCAATCATTGAAGGTATAATGGGTGTTGAACAACTACCTCCTGAAAAAAAAAATGATGGAAGTGGAGTTCACACTGCGTGACATCAGTAAAATCTGACTCACCCGCACACAATCTCTGATAACCAGTGGTAGGAACTTCTTCCTCTCCTTGTTGGTCATAATCATCATCTAGAAATAGTGAATCACGCATTAAAACGCTGAACATCAAATTACAATCTGCCTGCCGTCAACACAAAACCAAAATCTTACCAGCAGTGACTATGGGCAACTTGTTTTCTAGGAATTGAACCGGCGTTGCTTTCGTAGGTGATTTCATGTCAATTTCTGAAAAGCCTTTTATTATTTTCCACTTCCAAAAATCAATTCCCTGAATTAGATGCTCACCCAACCATCCATTCGCATCTTTCGCTTTCCTGCCTTTTGGAAGCTGTTCTTCTGGAGTTTCCCAGTCAAACTCATCCAATGCAAGCGCATCATCAACCATTCCTCCCGCTTCCTGATGCTGGAAATTTATTTGAGCTTATTAATTATATTTTCATCAGTAATACGACGCAATTCAGTCCAATCGGAGTATATATAGGACATGCACATGCTGCATGGAGTACAGAAGCATTGTCGATAATGCATGTAGAAGAAAACCCTCTCTTCAAGAAGAGAGGGTCAGGTGAAGTCTCGATGAAGTTAAAAGCAGGCATAATAATTTTTCAAATAAAAAAGCAATACAATAAAAAACACGAATACAGAAACTGCTTTTTAAACGCACCTGAGGTAAAAAATACTGTATACTAATGACAGGACATATTCGCAATACGAAGTATTTGCTATCCGAACATATGATTTCACATTCATCTTGCATGGGCTTCGTGTACAACGAACACAAATACTGTCCTGTACAGTATTGGAGGAAAATTTACTCGAAGGCATGTTTGTGGTTTCGAGCGACATCTACAAATGAAACGGGTAGAGTTTCAAGATGTTTCGTTTTGATAACACACGTGACACTCGCGTCTAAACACTAATGACTTCCAGGCGAACAATTTGAGATTTAAGGATACAGTTAATCACAATTCCTATGGTAATAAGTGCATGTGGAATCCTTACTGTACCTTGATCTGTCCAACATGCCGCCTCACCCGTCCTCTACTAGGGATCGTCAGATCAACAGATGGGAGTTCAGTCGGTTGCTGTTGATGGCTCGGTGATGACTTGTCCATTTTCTTGGGCTCTATTTTCTTTGCCAAATCCTCTTTGGTTGTATGAGGAATAACAGCAAGATCGTCAGTCGAAAGAGGAGTCCCATTTGCTATTGGCGCCGAAGATGCTTTTGAAAAAGAATCATTCCCTCCGGCAAAATGTTCGGTAGTCTGGATAGAATTTTCTTGGCTACGTTTCTTTTCCGTCACATTCTCATGAACCACGGTTTCATGAATAGTCAGCCAGTTTGGCGGCAATTTTTTCGCTTGACCATCTTGTTTTCGAAGGAAAAACCCCTCTTTTCCATTAGTAAGAACGCTTTCATTGTAGCCAGCACGGGCTAGATGTTGATTTTCAGTGTCGTTTATGGTTTCAGCGCGTTGAGTGATATTCTGCTTTTCTTCGTCCCTTTTTAATGTGTTCAGATGCTTGAGTATGACAGAGTCTTCCCAAGGACGAGCTGAAAATTAAAGAAACATACACACAATTTTAAAAATGCGCAAAAACCGCCTGAAGCGTATCAACCTTTGCTCAGCAATTCCAATGCTATTGAGGAATTCGGAGTGCTTTGTTTTCGCTACGGTTTGCCGAAATCACTTTCTTAAGCATTTTTAGATTCCGTTTTCCGAAATTTTGAAGTGAGTTATTCTAACCACCGCTTCTTAAACAAATTTAGAACACAAAAAAAGCCGAAGTTCTATGAACATACAATAATACTGTACAAGGAAAGAATTAATGAAATAAATGAAAAAAAAAATTTAAAAGAAATATAATTATATTTATGGAAAAAGCACGACGAAACGAACTGCTTTACTGCGGTCGTTCGAGATCGGGACACGTCAGGGGTTTGCTTTCGAGCGACATCTATGAAATAGTTTTATAATAATCACAGAAGATTTATAATTCTTCGGCAGGTGACGCTCGCGCTCTATGCGTCCAAACGCTCACCCAAACGCTCCTTTTCGGGGCAATTAATTACAAGTGTTAATTACAAGTCACACTTCCTTTATGGGTCTTCATTGAGGTTCCTAAGGGAGAGCTATCAGTGTTGGTGTAACTGTGCTCAGAGTACGTGCTGGCTAGTTTGCTGATGAATTGCTGGGGCACTGTCCACACTGTACACCGCCATCAAGACCCTGCGAGCCACTTCCGAGCATCCAACAAAGCACAAAGACATAGTGGCGAAGATCAGCACCACCTTCACAATTTCAGCTAACACCCTACAGCACATATTGCGATTGTCAGAGTTTTTGGATGGAGAATTCTTTGTCCCAACGACGCGCGCCTTGCTGGATGCATGATGGATAATATGTTTCGGCTGCAGCACGATGACGGAATCAGGGCCTTTTTCGACAGAGGGCGCCATTTAAAGAAATTCCAACGCAACGGAAATGCGTGTTGCGCTCCAGGAAAAGAGGAGTATGTCTTTAATTTTACACCAACGCTGCGTTTTTTTTCTTTCTTTTATAAAGCGACGTTCGCCCATAATGTTGAATTTTGGTGAAGTCTAATTGTTTGAGTGACATATATCAGTGTAGTCTTATTACATCGCTCTCCTTCAAATATCATGATCATGGTTATTTCGCTCAGATTGCCACGACCTTCATCAGGCACCTCAAACGTTTCAAACCATGAACGTCTTTCTTGGAACTACTGTAGACTGGTGGACTCGCCCTAAAACAACGGAATTCAAGGGACCATCAGGCGAAAAACTTGTTGATTTCAGAGGGTTTCGTTAGAGAGAACCATTGTAACATGCAGCACAGATGAGATCTTATCCACATGGAAAATAAATTGTAAAGAGAAAATCTTCTTAGAGAGAGAGTCACCTGATGTACATGCAGGTGTTTGAAAAACAGATTGGCAATGAATTGCAATTGTGCAACTGCAACCATTGCTTTTCAATTAACAAGGAATTTCAGTGTGGAGCAATACTTATAATGTACACCAAACCATTCGAATTTTTTGACTTGAATGACGTGATCTGTTATATAGACCGAAACACCCAATTTCCGTACATTACAAAAAGGCAATGAAGGTAGAAATTATGTTTCGGACGTGCAAAGTATTACTTCGATAAAATCTCGAAGACTCGAACATCTGCTGCAGTGGTGGGAGACGGAATAAATTCCACTTACGTTACATATTAGTGACAGGTCCAACAATGGAGGAAAAGGGGAAAATCCAAAGGGTGTTGGGGCTCGCTCTAGTTTTTCCTGAACAATCGAAGCTGCACATGAAGTGCATAAAACGTGTACAGATGTCGCACCTGAAGCAAAAGCCTTGGCGAAGTCGCCCGGCCGAATTCATGACCCCGTTTTGACGGAAGGGTTGTACTTCTCGTACATCACTTGTACTTGTCGGAACTCGTTATTTGAAAAACTGCATTTGTACTTTTCTCACGCGTCGTCCTTATATTTTCAAATATTGTCGGCCTTCAGCTTCCCGAAAAATCGTAGCAGAAGACGCGTTTCTTACGCTTGGATATTGGGATTGCCAATAATTACTCGAGTAATTTTTCAACACGCAGTGTGCTGATTTAAATGCATTTCCGGACCCTCTTGACTCATACAAAAATAACTTCGATGCAAAGCCTTTCAGACTTGATCATGTTCAAGCCATTGAAGAAAATAAAGAGTTCAATCAATCTTCATCGGCACAATCGTAGATGAGTCAACAGGGCATGAATATTCAAATTATTTCTTAATTTCGTTACCCACCTGACTGCGGTCAATCAAACCGAAAATGAGTAAAATTAATCTGCAATACCTAATGAACAAGCACTACTTAAATTCGACACAGCCAAAGGTTATTAGAGCAAACGTGATACTGAAGTTCTGTACCATCAGAGTTTATGTTCGAAGAATAATTCGATTCTTATGTTATTTAAAAAAAAGTACAGTACTGTAAATTTAAAAAAAAGGCAACCGCAGAAACTTGAAAATCCATTTTTTTCATTTCTCCATGTGGGTCAGTAAAAGTAAGCACGCATTGGCATTGAAGAACATGTTAAAAAATTTTTCAAATTTAAAGGGTAATCCTTTGTCCAACACATCTTCTAATCATTAAAAATTAAAACACTGTAATTCTGAAAATGTTCGAACATTTGTGATTACATTTCAGCAATATGGTAGGATTTGTTCACAAAAATGGACATTTGCAAGCTGAATTTGAATATCATAATAAAATACCCAACGTCAGTACGAATTGATTACAACGAAGAACCAGCACGAGGAGAACTCATGCCCTCACTATCTTAATGGGGTCAATTCACGAAAACAACGCAAATAATTCGAGGTATTCGCACTAAAAATTCGTCCTTTACGACTTGACAACAAAAGTGAACGTGCACGGGGGGAAAAAGAGGGAGCACTTGACTTACGAGGGATTTACTGAAAGTACTGCCAATTAATCCAAGTTTTCATCGCAGGCTTGTTTNGGGGGGGGGGGGAGAGGGAGCACTTGACTTACGAGGGATTTACTGAAAGTACTGTCAATTAATCCAAGTTTTCATCGCAGGCTTGTTTCATATTTGGAAAATTGTTGTCCATTCGTCCATCAATCCACAAAAAACATAAATACTGTATATACCGTAACTTCATCATCAGGCAAATTTTCTCGACACACTCTCTGAAAAGATGAAAATGCACGTATTTTTCTACACAAAAACATTCTGCAAAATTTCCTTTTGGATCACGCAGTCAACTGGTCCTTACATCCATTTCTCGAAACAAAATTCAGAAATTGTCTTCTTTTCATAAATCAAACAAAGGGTTTATTGCTGGTTTCCACATGAAATACAGCATCACAAGAAAAATAAGTGCTGAATGGCATTTGAAAATCTAAAATTTGGAAGGGCTGACATTCATCATCGTAACATTTTCCTACAACTTGAAGAAAATCAGAAGAATTATCAAAAAAACTTGCGCATTGATTGATTTGATTGATTACTTGATTTTTTTACTTCTTTCAAATCCATGCATACAATCGAAATCAAAAAGGCGATTTCTCGAATTTTCGTAAACCTGAGCTTAAAAATTACTCGCATATTTTTGAGCAGTGTTCCAATGCATAGAAAAAGTCGGGTAAGAATTTTAAAAATTATGGAACTTCAATAAATTTAAATGAATCATTTTCAATCTCGTCACTGAATCCAAGAATACTTCCAAGCTGGTGAAAATTCCAAGACCAAAAGACTCAATTTCCCCAAATGATCCGTTGCAAATGAATGGCGACACTCTTGAAAGACCCTCGTTAATGTGGAGCAAGTGGAGAATCGTCTTCCAAGTGTAAATTCATCAACAGGTGTCGAAAGGCTGACGAGAACTTCGGCATCTGGTCAGTGATACGCAATGTTATCAAGCTATTTAAATAATGTAATCAACGAACGTCTCGGCAGTTGAATCGAAATTGTCTAGTGTCTGTGAAATAACCTCCTCTCCAATCAGCACCAAAAATGATCAAGGCTTTGTGCTTCCTTGGGCTTATTGCCGTGGCTTTCGCCACTGAGGGCTTGGAAGATTGCGGTAAATTCAGTGAAATTAATATTAAACTAAAAAGTAAAATTGATATTGAACTAAAAAAATAAAATTGATATTAGAATAAAAATTGATATTAAACTAAAAAGTATAATTGATATGAAACTAAAAAGTAAAATGGATAATAAACTAAACAATAAAATTGATATTAAACTGAAAAGTAAAATTGATATCAAAAAGTAAAATTGACATTAAACTAAAAAGTAAAATTGATATCAAACTAAAAAAGTAAAATTAATATTAAACTAAAAAGTAAAATTGATATTGAAC